AAAAATAGGATCATGTAACTGCTAAAAGAAAACAAGAGTGGAAGGAAGAGGATGGCATTAAAGGTGGCAAGAAGCACAGTGTGAACATGTAGGTACCAAAGCGTGGCATGGAGACACTGGAAGAAGCAAGGGGTTCAACTCTAGAAGCAGCTGGAAAATGTGGACAGCACTAGCCCCTAAACTAGGGTCCCAGCCTGAATGGAGGGAGAAAGGGAGCTGGATGCAGGCATTGTCTCTCTCTGCAATGTGACCAGAGGCATCTTGATGCCAGGACCACAGCTACAGACAGCCACTTTCCCTATGATGGCTTCCCTGCCATGGTGGACTGTACCTTAAAACTTGAAATAAAATGGACTCTTCTTCCCTTAAATTGCCCGTCACAGCAGTGAGAAAACTATTTCCACCTTTTCCTCAAAGTTATATTCTTGGTTTTGAATATAACTTTGCTTTCCATTTCAATGAGGAAGATAGAGCAAATCTCCATGGCATCTGCCTGGTCCCCATTGACTACCAAACCCTCCACTCTCTCTTCTGTGCTCAAATTGAAAGTCAACTTTGTCCAGCGCTTCACAAATTTCATTTACTTTTCCATGGGATCTTAGGAGATCAGTGCCAATGTTTTAATTTCAGACTGGAAGCCAGTTTCAGTCACATTATTGGAAACAACTGATTCAGCTCTGCACACTGTCCCATTCCTGCCCAAACAGTGGCTCCACACCCTACAGCATCACCAACACCTGTGATGTTGTAAGACACAGATCCGTTTTGTTGTTGTTTGTTGTTGTTGTTGTTGTTGTTGTTGTTATGTAAGCAAAGGAATGGGTTTCAATGATTCCCTGGTGTTCTTCCGCTATTTGATGTTTAAAGAACAGCCCTGTGTGCCGTTGTGTTCTTTCCCATCCACTTTTCCACTATAAAACAGTGGCATCAATTATTTTTAAGTAAAGCTAGTGCTTAGATCGTGTAGTAGGGCTCAGTCTTTGTTCCCGAGGAAGCAGCATTAGGAAAGACGGGTCTTCCCAAGGCACCAACTAATTCCAATCCTCCATAAATCCTCTCAGTGTCTTGTGGCATTAAAAATGGAGCTTCTGGTGGTACCCTTCCCTGGCGTGATTGATTTCATTAAGTTTGGGTTCTGTGAGTCTCCACATTCAGGGCAACAGCTTAGTGGTAAGTTAGATCAAAAGAATTTAGGATTACCAGCCTTATAAGAGCCCATTCTTATTCTAATCATTCATTTTAACTGTTAATTTCTCATTCACTGAGAAAGAGCTTGGTTTAATTAAAAGCAGAAACAAATTTGGGGATTTTGACCTTGGAGTATGGGCTTATTTTAAGGCATATTGTTAGTGGTGAGTACTGAGAATCCACCCATGGAAAAGAGTTGGAGAGCCTCTAATTTCTTTTCTAAAACAAAGGAATCAAATGCCTCTTCTTTGTTCAGTGCAGAGGTCTGACTTACAGTAAACATTCTGATGGAAAGATGATGGTGAAAGGGTGGGGGACCAGTACTGCGTCACCAAGACCTCTGCTAACATTGTTCCCATTAGAACACAATGGCTCCAGACAAAGAGGAAACGATAGGGGTGAACCACAGCCCCCTCCGTTTCACATTCACATGGAGGGGATGGCACAGTAAACTTGAGACAGTTTTCTCCCTGAGCTTGACCCTTCCACATACACTTTACAGAAGAAAAAAGAAAACAACTTAATCATGTAAAGTAGACATAACACTAACCTTACCAGAGTGAAAATCTAATCACTTTGATTTTGAAGTTTCAAGGTTTTGAATGGACTCAAAAACGCTTCCTCTACAGTAGAGGTAGTTGCTTGCGCTCTGAAGTTCCTCGTCTCCTTCATTTCTGTAGCAGTGGGGCTGGTCCATTCCTGTTGCTGTTACAAAGGACTACTCTTGGCTGTCAAATATTTTGAATTCTTAGATGACAGTAAGTAAGAGACATAACTGCTTTCAATTTCCCATAAATCACCATGCTACCTTTTTCCCTTACAGACAGTCTATGGAGGATGAAGTTCATGACACTTTGAAACCATTAGACTCATTAACAGCTTATGGCTTCAGGGATAAAACCACATCACTCAGATCATTTGTTAAGCAACCATAGTATTTAAATAAACTCATAATTACCCTCAAGGATTTGTATTCAATGCATTATTTCCTGACACATTTTAAAAAATCTTCTTACACTAGCACAACCACTCGCCTTAAATGTTCTTTGCTCTTCTTTCTCTTCACATTCTCAAAGACATTACCAAAGGAACCCTTTGCTACATCCAGGGTGGTCTTCCATTCCTGGTCCAATGCCTGATCACCCTGCCTCACCCCTATATAAACTCTACTGGTTTAATTGTTTCCATGTCTGAACCCCTGAAAGTTTAATCAAATTGTTAAGCAAAATTTCTCTAATTACTTCATCCCACAAATATCCCCTTTCTCATCTTGAAAGTTTCATTTCAGATACAGCCAATCTGTTCTATCCTGTCGAGTTAATTTTGTAACAAATGATGAATTTCCCACAAGTATGACCTGTATGGGTGTTAGCAACCTGTTTTTATAATAATTGACAGCTAAAGCTTATAGTCTTTTGCCCTGAGTGCCCCGCATTGAAAACAGATGACCACATTTATGTCTTTCCAAAATGTCAGAATTCATTGAATAAATACGTATGTATGTGGTTTATGTTAGGTCTCAAACCCGGCACATACAACTAACATATAGGTCTTCCCAGCATTCCCGAGCCTCCTCACTGACATACCCATCCCCTACGCTAGACTTCTCCAGCCAAAGGACTGGTCTGGACTGTCCTTCCCCCAGCTGCTATTCCCTTTATAATCCAAGCATTTTGACTACTACCGGCGTCTTTTACCTTTTGGTCTCCTGACTCTCCGCTGGCCTCTTAGCTTCTGGCTCTCCCCTCTCCCTTTTCCCCTCTCCCCAAACCCTTCTCCTCACAAGGCCCAGCTCATCCGTGTCCACTGTGGACCCTTCCAGATGCCTCTGGCTAAGCTCTCCCTCAGATCCACAATAACCCTTCTCTTCCAGTGTACCTGGGAGCACTCACTCATGCCCTCCTCTTATTTCTTTCATTCAGTTAACTCAACGATTATAAGGTCCAGAGACCAGAACATAGTTCAAAGTTTAGAAATACGAATAGAATCTGTGTTGATAACCCAAATCACTCACAAGGATGAAGCTGTTGCTATAGCTCTAGGCCACAGGAGAGCCAGGGTCAAGAGCAAGGAACAGTAGCTACCAAAGGGTATGGTCAGGTTCAAGCAGGAGCAGCTTGGGTTCAGATGGACAGACTGCTATTAAGCGGGTCACATCAACAACAGGGACTGAGCCAAACTAAAGCCCCAGAGACAGTCGGGAATCCTCTGCCTGCCGTTTCTTACTGCATATATGACGCGTCTGTTAATAGGGCTGTGCGAGGGCGGGGGAGGCCTTGCCACTGCAGTGCTGTGTGTCCACCACTCTGTGGAGTCCAGGTGAGAGAGTTATGCCCTTTCTTTGGCCTGGCATGTCTGGTAAGTTCTTGGACCTGGTCTCCCTGATGTGATTTGAATATGTTCGTGTACTCCTATAGCCTCAATCCACCCTGATAAGCTTTATAGGGCAGAGCCCCTGCTACTACCAGGAATAAGTCATCTACTGGTTGTGTCACATGAGTGATGCAGGAGAGATGGCATCCATCCGGAAGCCCAATCGTCCTCCACCCTCGAAATGGAGCCAGTACAGGACTGATCCAGACCCCTGAACATGGATGTCAATGAGGAGGCCTCCGCACTCTAGGGGGCCCCTGGTGGTGGATTAGTATTTTCCCCTGGTGTAAGAAGGGACTTTGAGAGCCCATCCCACGTGAAGGGATGTTCTCTCGACCTGGACACAGGGGAAAGGGCCTAGGCTCAGCCCAGGAAGATGTGGTGGACTTTGTGGAGCCCCTGTGGAGGGCCCTACCCTGCCTGGGGAGTGGAGGGTGGATGAGGGTGAGGGGTAGGTCCGGGGAGGGGGTAGGAGGAGTGTGGGTGTGAGGAGAGGGAGAGGGATTGACATGTGAAACAAACTTGTTCCTGATTTACTAATAAAAAAATATATTTAAAAAAATGGAGTTAAAAGCTACTTATAAAATGGAGTAGCATGGGACAAGGCACAGTCTCAAAGACCACTGTTTCACAGGCTGTGGGGCATGTTAGATCAGAACACAGCCTGCCTGCTTCACACCATCCACACAAAAAAATTCTTAAGGAAATATATAAATTAAGTAAAAGAAATGAAAAAAATAGCAGATTTGGGATCAAGAAGTTACATTTATGCTTTTCCCACTCAGTCAAAATAGATTTGATAGATCACGTTGTGACTTAATTCCTATAATGCCTCCTCTCCAGTGAGTACTTTGACACATTTGTCAAAGTCAGATGGCTGTAGGTAAGTGGACTTATGTCTTGTCTTCCTTCTGTTTTGGGGACAGTACCGTGTCAACGTTGTTAGCATGTCTCTGTGACATGAATTTAGGGCAGTAATGCTGATGCCTCCAGTAGTAGCTTCTTTTTGCTCAGGAGTTCTGAGGAGTGCTGCATTGAATCTGTAGATGGCGTTCGCTAAGAACCATTGCTCACAACATTGATTCTCCCAATCCCTGAGCACCAAAGGCTTTCTGTTTTCTGGTTTCTTCTTCAGTGTCTTTCTAGAGTATTTTGAAGCATTCACTGTAGAAGGGTTTCATTTCCTTGGTTAGATTTGAGCCACTAGAGTAGTATGAATTCAGTCAGCAGGTCCTCTGCCAAAGTGGCACTCAGCCACAGCAGCCAGCTCTGACCAGTGTTCATGTGAATGCTTTCTCCATTGAAAAACTACCATGAAGATTCTAGGTGGTTCCCCTACTTGGGCTGCAAGTTTGTGGCAAGTGAAAAGCTTTCCAGGAGCTCGGTGTTGTCTGTGGTGATGGAATTTCCTAGGATTCTCTTTTGTTTTCTTTTCTCCCCACAGAGCAGAGAGTCCTTAGTCCTGAATGAAAAGACAGAGTGGCAGTTTGTGGAGCAAAACGGTCCTCTTTCTAGGCTATTGTCCCAGGTAGGCAAATCTCAGAAGTTCCTGGTCTCTTTATTGCTGTGCTCTGCAAAATGGACTCTGCAGGTTGTGCCTACATGTACATCTGCATACCTGTAACAATGATGCAAATACAGCACTCTAATATGAAATTCTCAAAATGAAATAAATCTTAAAAAAGAAGTTATTATATTTACAGTGCAATTCAAATGGTTGGCTCCATGGAGACTTCTCTCTTTCCTTTTTAAAATATTTTTATTTTAACTTTTTGTTGGTTCTTTGTGGATTTCACATCATGTACCCCAATCCCACCCATCTCTTTGACCTTTTGTATCTGCCCTCTGACCTTGTAACCCTCCCAAAATAAAAGAAAAGAAAAATTACAACATAGATACTGTAGTGTGTCACAGTGAGTCATACAGTATGCCCTTTAGTCTATACATCTTGCAAATGTTCATTGCAATAAGTTATTGGTCTGGGTCAAGGCCTCTGGCTTCTTCTACATTGTCAAATACTGGATACTCAATGGTACAACTCTTTGATATCCTGTTGCTGCTCTGTGTCATGGCATGTATAACTTATCTAATATCTAATAACTTATCTAATGAAGATAATAGTGGAACTACAGATGTGATCCTACTAAGAAATAAGAGAAGCCGCTTCTGCGGTTCCAACATAAGATAAAATGGCACGTCCCTTCGGAGTAACTATTTTATTATGACCAAATATCGTCTGTCCTTGAATTACTAAATTTAGTTGAATTGGCAAAACTTGGGGATGTTAACGATCCCCCCACATAAACACAGCATGCCATAGATAACGAAGTGTGTTTGTGAGCACTTGAACCTTGTGGTCTCTCTGTTAAGTTATTCACAAATATAGATATTATGCTAACATAGCACTCAGGAAGGAGTTTGGTTTTACTTTCCAGTGTTGTAAAGTTCCTGGTGCTTCAGTCTGCCAATTTAAACCATAGATTTCGTAGAGAGAGAAGCAGAACAATGTTGGTAGGAAGGCAAATGTAACTCTTTTGAGTTCTAATGTGGACACAAGTCAGTAGCTGAGACTGTAGCCAATGAGGCTCAAGGTGTGGGTGGCATATGTATTAGGACCGTTGGTAAAGTGACATGCTGTTTAGCAGATGACGACTCATGGCCAGAAAAAGATAAAGATATATAGTAAAGACAGATTCAGAAGGAAAAAGAAAAACTCTGAAGGATTTACAGTGTGTTTAAAAATATACGTAGGCTTGGGAAAGAAAAGAAACAAGATAAAGTGCTAAAAGAAAGAAAGAAAGAAAGAAAGAAAGAAAGAAAGAAAGAAAGAGAGGAGGGAGAGAGAGAGCTCGTGCGTAGCTGGGCAATGGTGACACACATCTTTAATCCCAGCACTCAGGAGGCACAGGCAAGCAAACCTCTGTGATTTCAAGGCCAGTTTGGTGTGCAGAGTGAATTCCAGACAGGCAAAAGTACACAGAGAAACACTGTCTCATAAAAGGAAAAATTAAAAGAAATAGAGTAATAATAAATAAATAAATAAATAAATAAATAAATAAATAAATAAATAGAGACAAGGTCTCTCTCGTGTAGCCTAGGTTTGTCGTAAAGATGGAAAATACACAGAGAGTTCTGGATACTGTATGTTACTGTGTTATCTTTGAATTTTTTGATTACCGAGGAAGGAGCAGCACTGCTAAAAGACATTTAATTATAAATGCTGCTGAATTAGCCCAACTTATATATTTTGAAAATGCTTTGACTTCAAAATTAAAGTATAAGGACATGTTACTTTGGAAAAGAGATTTTCTTTTTGTTTCCACAGAAGATGAAAAGCTGTGGATTCCTTCCAGACTAATATGGTTTGATGAAACATGATCCCCTGAAGCACTGGCCAGGTGCTCTAACATTGAACACACCTGGGACAATGCAGACTCAGGCTTCTACAGCCAGGATGTCTGGGTTTTCTCAGGATCCCATGGTATGGACACCACCCCCAACCAACAGGAAGCAGTTTGGAGTGAACGACACCCAAATTCCCAAATATTGTTTATAAATGTTAGTCGTGATTTATACGGGGTTGGTTATAAATGGTTAATGATTATAGACAATTTCTTTCTTTAAAAAAGGGGGAGAATATGAGATAGAAATACCTGGTATTGGAATGGATTTTCATTTATTGATACAAATTTAAGGTCAATTTGTTATATGTACATTTCTTCTCTTGTTTAGGTATTGTGTTTATATAGCTCATTTAAATTGTAATATATATATATATATATATATATGTATATATATATATATACATATATATATATATAGTCACCTATAATAGTCAAAACTTAGGTTTTCTAGATATATAGAGATTTGTTTCAAATAAGTAGATATTCTTCAAACCTTTCAAAGACCTACAGAATATGGCCTTTAAAATAGTTTAGGGTTTTTCATGACAGTGAGACACAACAGCTCCTGGCACACCAATTACTTCAGAGAGGAAGATTGGCATCGAAGAAACTCATTATGGAGTTTGTCTTTAACATGGCAGAAATAGCCATTTGGGCAGGAGACTGCTCTTGACTGGACTGTTTGACTGTATGCTGTATAAGGTGGACATGCAGGACTCATAGGAAAGTGACTGCTGAACTTGCAAAACAAGATGGACAGTGCTGCAGGGTTCTTGATTCTTGGAAGAGTCTACCAGACATTCTGCAGGACACAAAAAAATGACTGACAAACTGTCAATACAGGCAGACAGTTTAAAATTTCCTGCTTTGCTGAGAAGTCTGCCAGACACACTATGGCCTATAGGCTGAAGATGGATGCCCTAACATTGCAGAAGAACTTTGGATGACTGTCCAGGTAGCGAGATGTCTCTGTCTATTCTAGAGTTTATAAAGAACCCTTCTGTGGTCTTTGATGGAGTTGAAGATAGTTAGCTATAGTTATAGTTTTCCTTAGGATAAAAGATAAGTTGCATATAAGACTTTCGACTCACAAACATAGGATAGATGATAGAATATTTTCTAAATATTTTGCCAAATGTTAATGGACTAAATATTGTAACTATAGTTCTTACTTAAAAAATGTTTTCTTATATATAATTATTTTTACTATATTAAAGTTAAAACCTTTCTTTTTATTTAGACAGAAAAGAGGAGATGATGGGGATGTCTTCTATACATATGTTTCTTTTATTGGTTGATTAATAAAACACTGTGGCCAACAGGGCAACAAGATAGGTGGGTCTAGGAGATGTGGAGGATTCTGGGAAGTGTAGGCAGAGAGGAGTCATCATGTGAGCCCAGGGAAGAAAGGACTCGAGTGAGACATTTTCTGGTAAGATAAGACCACATGGAAATACATATATTAATAGAAATGGGTTAATAATTAAGGCAGAGCTAGCCTTAGCAATGGCCAACAGCCTCATAATTAATATAAGTCTTTGTGTGTTCATTTGAGACTCAAGCAGCTGTGGAACCAGGCTGGTGGGGAGAACCATCCACAACAGTAAAGTAGAAATAATTTTTAATTAGATAATAAAAATAAGTGAATACTCACAGTCAGGCAGTGGTGGTGCATGCCTTTAGTCTCAGCACTCAGGAGGCAGAAGCAGGTAGATATCAGTGAGTTCAATGCCAGCATGGTCTACAGATCAACAGTCCTGATCGTCACACAGAAAAATCGTGTCTCAAAAAAAAAAAAAAAAGAAAAAGAAAAGAAAAAGAGAGAGAAAAGAAAGAAAGAAAGAAAGGAAAAGGAGTACATTCACAAATAAGCAGACTTTCTTCAAAAATACTCATTATCCTATTTTGCTGAAATAAAATTGCAACTGTATTTTATTCTTTATTCTGCATGTCACATACATTTCGCTTAATGGCCACCTGAGTTTTCTTTCCTTCATTTTCCTGATAGCTAAATACTGGACAAATGTCTCTCCTAAGAGCATTGTTTTAAAGTAGAAGTATCCTAAGGAAGACATACAAATGGATATAAAGTAGATGAGTCCTAAAGAAGACATATGAATAGTGACCTTCTGTATCTTCTGTTTCAACCATTTATTCATTTTCTGTGTTGATACAAATGAGTTGTTTGATCTTCTGCATTAAAAAGGTTATTAAAATAAAAACTGCAGAAGTGTCTGGAAATAACCATACTTTGTATGCAGTGCCCTTTTTGGGGCAATAACATGCCAAAAGTAAATAGAGAATAATCACAAGAAAAGTTGCCCATGCACATATAGTAGGGCTGGCATATCTTTTCACTGGTGGAATTTCAAAAAGAAAATGTAAAAAAGAAAAAATTGAATACACAGCTGTATCAAATGCAGTCTTTGTGACTTTTCAATTAATCTCCATCAGTTTTCAGAGATTCTGCAAACAACAAATACATGAAAATGACAATTAAGACTTTTTTCCCTAAAATAAAACATTGGGTTAGAGAAAGACAAGAGAGGTGAGACTAGCAAAACAGATATTTATATATAGTAATATATATATATATACATATATATAGTAATAATACTATATATCAATCATATCAAATTTTGTTAATTTAATAGGCTTTTGCAGCTTTTCTTTGATTTGGGGTTTTCTTTTTTCTTTTTTGTTGTGTTTTGTTTTTCGAGACAAGGTTTTTTCTGTGTAGCAGCACTGGCTCTCCTGGAACTCTCTCTGAAGACCAGGCTGGCCTTGAACTCATAGAGATACGCCTGCCTCTGCCTCCTAGGGCTGTGATTAAAGGTGTATGCAACCACTTGCAGCTGTTTTTATTCTCTAATTTATTTACTCATTTCTTCGTTTAGCTCTTATTAATATCCCCAGTTTAGGTTCTTTGCATGGTGTTAGTATATTACTTCTACTAACTGTAGCTCTCAAACCATGGTCAGGTGCTCTGCATGGCAAGCTTTCGTTGGAGGGTAGTGGGCATAAAGCTGAGCTTCCTTCATTCTCAATGCTCACTCAGGCCTGTGTTAATGAAACACTCCAAATTGTGATCTCAGCATGCATGAAGCTGAGGCCAGAGAAGCTGAGCCTGGGCTGCATAGCTTGTGTTAAAACAAACAAAACCAGCAAATTTTAAAAGTTTCCATCATTTCTTACCTCTGTTGCCCATTCTAATTCCAAACTACTTCAGGTCTGCTCCTGATTTCCAGTGCCAGTTCATGGCTACCAGATGCTCTAACCTCTGATGGTATCAATTCCTTACCTGCCTCTGGGGTATCAGCCAACATCTAGTATTTCCTATCATGTGTTGTCAAAATTTATCCAAGAAAGAAAACTTTTCTCAACCCTTGTTACTTAGCTTGTAGAATGATTTTGTGAGAATAGCATAATACAAATTACTGAATTTAGCATACTTTAAAGCCCATCTTAATAGAATCATGAGTAGAATATTCATTTCTTTCCCTGCAGCAGCTATAACAATACTCTGACCTGTCTCAACCACAATTCTGTCTCTCTGGGCATACTTATGGGCACTGCTAAAAGGCAAAAGCAGGGGATTGTGCCTTTTGTGAAAGAGGAAGAAACAATTTGTCAGAGTCTTATTTATGTTTGTTTGTTTTAGCTATAGACTTTGACATGACGAATATTTTAAAGAACCCAAAAGCACACGCCACGTCTGTAAACAAGGAGGAGTCATCAATGTCAAAAGTAACAATAAAGGTGTGTCCAGTAGTAAATATAAGAACCTTCCTTGTTCAGTTTGCAGTGTCATTAAAGTCAACTGGCTTCACACAGTCATTCTGGCCTGCACATTCTCAACATATGTTTTAGGAAAAAATTTAATGACCAGGTATTTATTTGGAGATATTAAATTTAAATGTTCTATTTTCTTCTGACAATACCACCATCTCTAGTGAAAATTTTAAAATTAAAAGCATAGCATTTATCTTTTCTTCATGACAGTTCTTTGCAATGGCTTCTCCTGGGTAGACATACAAAGATACCTTCTAGTGCACCCTCGTAGCTGTCATGGTTGCCATGACAACTCAAAGGGATGTTAGCAGTGGCTGCCCTGTCTCCACTTCTTAGGTGTGGCCCTGGAGGAACTGACAATGTAGATGCTGTTTTCTCAAGAACCAAGGCTTAGGTCCTCTGTGGTCCTTGTTTTGTTTTGCTTTGCTTTGCTTTGATTTGATTTGTTTTTTAAAAGAGCCATTCTGAGTGGCTGTAGCCTAGGAACATAGATTTAGATAACCCCAAATGTCATGTTCTATTGTAAAAGCAGTTTCATGAAATTTTATAGTTTTATAGAATAAAGAAAATCATGAATCAAGGCAAGTTTAAAATGCACTGATGGGTGCAGCATAGAGTAGTGACAGCAAGATGGAGGAGGATTTTCCAGCAAAGTGCTATCTGATAGCATTCCTGGCTTTGGGGTTGGTGGATGCTAGTGGCTTGCTAAGATAATAGATTCCAAAATAATTTGTCTGTTAGTCACAATATGTTAGTTCTGACACAGAGATAGTCAAAGTAAGGCTCTTCTGAAGGCTAAAGCTAGCCTGAGATAAAGTACCAAAGATAATTACCCCACCCCAATGCTAACACTCCAATATCCCACAGTACTGAAGTTCCAGTCAGTCAGTCAATCTCTGCAGACACAGCTTCTTTGCAGGAGTTTTGTTCACAGTTCTCCCTGTTGAGCAAGCATCACACTTTGCAGGGGCCTCATGTTTTACTAAATAGTATATAAGGGCCCTTGTAGCCAGGAAGGGGTAGGATCTGCTATATCTGAGGCTGAGTAGTGGGCATGGCAGCAGTCTTCAGGAGACACAAGTAGCTGGTAAAGACTATCCAGAAAGACACTCAGATTCATAGCAAATGTCCCCTGGGCCCTTTAAGGTGTCTCACAGGGAGAGATGCCACAGACTCCACACTGTGTTGCTTTAGCAAGGTTAGACAAGGTCTTTGGCTTGAAATTCTAAATTTGATCTTTAATTTATATATGAATCAGGTTTTAAATCTGTTACAGTCTTTCTTGTCAAAAAAAATTTTGGTTTTTCGAGACAGGGTTTCCCTGTGTAGCTTTGGAGCCTATCCTGGCACTTGCTCTGGAGACCAGGCTGGCCTCGAACTCACAGAGATCCGCCTGCCTCTGCCTCCTGAGTGCTGGGATTAAAGGCGTGCGCCACCAAAGCCCAGCTCTTGTCAAAATTCAGATCTGACCATTCTCCAGGAGTGGAAATTGTGCCCACATAAATTAATTTTCTTAATTTAAGTATTCCTATATTTCTGGTCTTTAATAATCTAATCTAATGAAATCTCTTCCTGCCTTAAATACTTAGTAAGTTTTTAGGTCAAAAATTACAATCCATGGAAGCTTATCTGGAAAGGTGATGTTGTCATTGCATTTTCTTTTATGGCCCTATTATCAGACTATAAAATTGAAGAAAGTTAATGGAAACGACAGAGCTACTATTCAACAAGCACTGGGGAGAGGGGGAATTGTAAAAGCTAAGTAACCCTTCTCAGAGTCCACCAGAGAAGCACAGAAGTAAGGCAGTTTTCTATGCCATTGGTCCTCTCCTTGCATATCTTTCCCTGCTACTTGAGAAGACAAGCGTTTATTAGTTGTAGAGGCCTGAGACCTGCAGCCACCAATGGGATTTCTTGTGCTTGGATCTGGAATATCCCAAAAAGAATCTTATATGGAAGGCTTGTTCCCCAACTTGGAGGTTGTGGACAATAATAGTGTATGGTAGGAGTGAAGTAGGTCACTTTGAACATAACTTTGAAGAGTCTCTCTCTCTCTCTCTCTCTCTCTCTCTCTCTCTCTCTCTCTCTCTCCCTCCCTCTCTCTGTCTCTCTCTCTCTCCCTCTCTCTCCCTCTCTCTCTCTCTCTCCCTCTCTCTCTCTCTCTCCCTCCCT